TGGGAGGTGTTGATCTTTGGGGGATTTAAATACTCCGAAATTACCATCTCTTTTAAGGGTCTGAGCGGTGGTGCAGAGGGTTAAGGCGTACCTGTTATGCCAGTTGCTGGAAGGCTTCTGTGCTGGCTAGGGTTCGAGTCTCCTGGTGGGAAAGTGTTCTAAAGTTGTATACTTAACTCTCGTGTTTAGGAGAGTTGTGCCTTAAGCAGAGACACTGTGTCTTCCCATATTAACAGGGACTTGATGAAATTAACGTCTAAATGACCCCTCACTTGCTCTGGTGCTCTTGGGAGGTGTTGATCTTTGGGGGATTTAAATACTCCGAAATTACCATCTCTTTTAAGGGTCTGAGCGGTGGTGCAGAGGGTTAAGGCGTACCTGTTATGCCAGTTGCTGGAAGGCTTCTGTGCTGGCTAGGGTTCGAGTCTCCTGGTGGGAAAGTGTTCTAAAGTTGTATACTTAACTCTCGTGTTTAGGAGAGTTGTGCCTTAAGCAGAGACACTGTGTCTTCCCATATTAACAGGGACTTGATGAAATTAACGTCTAAATGACCCCTCACTTGCTCTGGTGCTCTTGGGAGGTGTTGATCTTTGGGGGATTTAAATACTCCGAAATTACCATCTCTTTTAAGGGTCTGAGCGGTGGTGCAGAGGGTTAAGGCGTACCTGTTATGCCAGTTGCTGGAAGGCTTCTGTGCTGGCTAGGGTTCGAGTCTCCTGGTGGGAAAGTGTTCTAAAGTTGTATACTTAACTCTCGTGTTTAGGAGAGTATATTAACAGGGACTTGATGAAATTAACGTCTAAATGACCCCTCACTTGCTCTGGTGCTCTTGGGAGGTGTTGATCTTTGGGGGATTTAAATACTCCGAAATTACCATCTCTTTTAAGGGTCTGAGCGGTGGTGCAGAGGGTTAAGGCGTACCTGTTATGCCAGTTGCTGGAAGGCTTCTGTGCTGGCTAGGGTTCGAGTCTCCTGGTGGGAAAGTGTTCTAAAGTTGTATATATATATATATATATATATATATATATATACGTCGTACCTAGTAGCCAGAACCCACTTCTCTGCCTACTATGCAAGGCCCGATTTGCCTAATAAGCCAAGTTTTCATGAATTAATGTTTTTTCGACTACCTAACCTACCTAACCTAACCTAACCTAACGTAACCTAAAGACCGGATTTGCCTAATAGGCCGAGTGCTTCTCTTTATTTTCATTAAATTGTTTCCAATTAGTTGATTTGAATTATTATTATTATTATATTATATTAGGAACATAAATTATTGATTTAGTTATGTTAGTTTAGGTTAGGTTGAGATAGGTTAGGTTAGGTTGGGTTAGGTTAGGTTAGGTAGGTTTGGTTAGGTTCGGTCATATATCTACATTAGTTTTAACTCAAATATATAAAAATTAACTCATACATAATGAAATTGATAGCTTCATCATTTCATAAGAAAAAAATGAGAAAAATATTGAAATTTTGGAAAACTTGGCTTATTAGGCAAATCGGGCCTTGCATAGTTGGCAAGAGAGAGAGAGAGGGAGAGAGAGAGAGAGAGAGAGAGAGAGAGAGAGAGAGAGAGAGAGAGAGAGAGAGAGAGAGAGAGAGAGAGAGAGAGAGAGAGAGAGAGAGAGAGAGAGAGAGAGAGAGAGAGAGAGAGAGACCATACTTAATCGACTTGAGTATGGTCCAGGACGGACCGAAACGTCGTCGTCCCTTCACTTTCTAGTGTGTGGTCTGGTCAACTTTAGCCACGTTATTGTGACTCATCGCCTCCAAGAGCTGGAAATCAGTACCTAACTTTATCTTATTTACCACGTTTGAAATAAGTCTGTTTTAAATTTCGGGAGAATTGAACTGATAAAACCGAATTTATGTGGTTGATCTAAGGCGGAGGACAAGAGCCGGAGCTTGGTAACTGCTTTGGTCTCATTTACTATGTCCGAAATACAGCGGTTTTTATTTCCACGAAAATTGGGCTAATAGTAGCGAAGTTACAGGAGTAAACTACGGCAAAGACAAGAGCTGGCACTCGGTACCTTTTATTTATTTTCCTTCTACGTCTGAACTATGACACGTATACAGCTGGGTCCAAGAACTAACATTTTACTCTGGGAATTACTTAACAAACTCCTAATGAATATATTCTCTGAAAATTACTTCCTCTGAACTAAACTTTACTCCTGAATGAGTAAAATAGAATAGCGTGTGTATTTTATATATAAGAATTCCCTAACACATTCCTAATGAATATATTATCTAAACATGATATGGATACGATTTTACAAACAAATACCTAAGGAACCCTTTTTAAGGTGGCCCTTTAGCGATTAATTGTCCAGGATAGACACACAACCCTTTTTAAGGTGACACTTTAGCGAGTAATTTTCCAAGATAGACACCCTACTTTTTTAAGGGAACCCTTTAGACTGGAATTGGCCCAAAAAACAAACTTCCTCGCTAAACCATTATCCCCACTACTTGACAGTACATAAAAAAGCAGTATAATAAGCAATGTACATGATAGTCTCAAATAAATAATACAATAACATGAAAGGCAAGTTGGAAATAAATCTGGAATTCTCTATCATGACATTTTGAAACTCAAATGATACACTGAAGTACAAAATCTTTGAGTGAAAGCTGAAAGCAACACTCAAAATCAACATCTCTTCAACAACATGCAGCAAGCCAAGAATGAGGCAACGTACACGGTAAATATCTGTTTTCGTGTGTCAAGTATCGACAGAGTTCAACATGTTGAGTTAATAATGATGCAAAATTTCAACATCGATGCCAGCACCACTCCAAGGCACATCCCCCCCCCCCTCCCTCCCTTCCGCTTGCAGCAATAAATAAGTTTTATTACCGAAAATATATAAATATATTGCAATCATATTATCACATTTTTAAATACACATTTATCATATAATAAAATATATGAAAATCTGTCATTTTCTTTAAGTATGCAACACATAAAAATTTTGTTTTCGTATATTGACGTTCAACTAGAGAACTACCATGAAAACTGTCACATACTGCCTTGTAGGCAGGGCAGATGAGACTTGAGATTACTGAATTTAAATAAAACGGAATATACAATTAGGTTATATATGGAAACATGTGGAAAAGATCGAGTCTAAAGTTAATGTCAACTTGAAGTTACAGGCACTCTTACTTGGGCAGCAATAGTTACCAAACGGCTAATAAAGGCTGAGCAATTATGTTACTAAACTCACGGGAAGGTGTGTCCTTGACTTAGCCTCGGAAACAAAGATAAAATAAGGATGTAATTATTAGCAAATTATATGACAACATTTGTAAATAAATATCTTTTTGAGAATGTCGGGAGAAGTGATAGAAGCTGTAGACATGACATACTTGGCTACATACAAGCAAAAATTATATGTAGAAGAGGTTTACCCTATTTCAAGAGGAATGCAAACAGAGAATTTACCTTAGTCTTAGACTATGTTCAGGACTAAAGTATACTTGCTGGTTGGTCAGTAAGGTATTGTGGTGGCCTTAATATCCCGCAAGAGATCCAAAGGCCTTAAGCCCATCTCCCCCCCCCCCTCCTAAAAGAGTATCCTTCTATCGATAACTTTTTGTTCATATCCTTATTAAACAATTCAACAAACCACAAATCTCCAGTAAGCATTATAGCAGTAAGAAAAGAACGAGAACTATTATAGAACATCTCTGATTCACGATCACTGCAACATTATCTGGTGACTGTATTTCACAGACTACATAACGCCTCACTTCACAATAAAAAAAAAGTCACGGGATGCATCTAACTCCCCCATACACAACATAGTAAGTGTATTTTGGGAGCCCACATACAGCAGTTCGAGTCCCTTAATAATACCTCAATATTTTCTCATGTATAACAAGTTTCTACTGTAATGTAACCTGGAAACATATATTTTAACATTAAACCCATTTCACATATCCCCAGTTAACTGCTGTCCTGTTTCTCTATAATTGTTAAAAGATTAAGCAAATAGTTTATCACCAGTCCCTCAGAGCACCGTACACACCAGTCAAGTCCTTCATTTTTCTCCACACACCAGTCCAGCCCCTCATGCCACTTTACACACCAGTCCAATCCCTTCATGCCACTCCACACACCAGTCCAGTCCCTCGAGTCACTCCACACACCAGTCCAGTCCCCTCATGGCATTCCACACACCAGCCCAGTCCCCTCATGGACTCCTCACATCAGTCCATCCCCTCATGCCACTCCGCACACCAGTCCAATCATGCCATTCCACACACCAATCCAGCCACTCATGCCATTCCACACACCAGTCCAGCCACTCATGCCATTCCACACACCAGTCCAGTCTTATCATGACACTAAACACGAGTTCAGGTCCTCATGCCACTCTACATCAGTTCATTCCCCACATGCCACCCCACACATCAGTCCAGTCCCTCATGCCACTCTACACACCAGTCCAGTCCTCTCATGGCACTCCACATACTAGTCCAGCCCCCCCATGCCATTCTACACACCTGTCTATTCCCTCATGCCACTCCACACACCAGTCCAGTCCCCTCACCCCACCCTGCACACCAGTCAAGGTCTTTCATGCCATTCCTCACACCATTCCAGTACCCTCATACCACTTCAAGTACCAGTCCAGTCCCCTCATGCCATTCCACACACCAGTCCAGTCCTTCATGCTACTTCACATTCCAGTCCAGTCCTCTCATGCCTCTCCACACACAGTCCAGCCCTCCGCCTCAATAACATTCTCCAAGAGGACCCAAATCTAGCCTTGTTAGAATTGTATATTCACATTAGAAAATGAAATCAATAATAAATTTAAACAGTAAGAAAATATAATTCATAATAAATGCGAACGGTATCAGAGAGCTATACCTGCAATATCAGATGATTGACGGTGTTGATGGTCGTGGAGGTCTGCTCGACCCAGCTTGGAATTAGCCAGTTCCCCGCTGCCTACACGAGCTGCAGGTAGTGTGGGCCTGTCCTCCCCTGCCAACACCAATAGGACCAGAGGATCTCACACTTCCTCAGCTGAGAGTCCTGCTGACCGCTTATTTCAATTCCACTGCTGACAGTTTGCTGATCGCCACTGATGGCCTAATGTGATCTGAATTATTATTGTCTGACGTGGAATTGTCTGGGTCATTGACGCTGTCGACGTTGGTTTATTTCTGTGAGCTGTTCTTTCGTCGGCTTGTTCTGCAGAACACATCTTATGTGAAGGTGCATCGAGTTGTTCTAGAAATGAAGCCTTTGTTTCTGTGGTGGTTGTTGGTTGTTGTTCAGCAACCTTTAGCGCTGAGCACTCAGCTGTGGCGTCTCGTCACCGTCGAGTCGTCGTGGATCACCTCTACGGTTCAGCAGACCAAACAGTCGTTAGACACACTAAAGTGTGCCATGAGATGCGCCTCCCTGGGGTGGTGCGAGGCGTGGTGCCACGACGGAGCACTCCGGTGCCAGCTCACCAACCTCGTCGTCTCCGGCTCCTACCAGACAAACGCCACGACCAACGTTCTCACCTGCTACACCAACCACTCCAGCCTCCCTGAATACGCCTTTCATGCAGCCGTCACCTCGACAAGTGTATCTGGCAACATCAGAATAAAGAAACATCTTGTTGATGGAATCTATGACTGGGATATAGACAGCTGCAGTTGTTTATATTATTTAAGCTCACCGTGGTTCCTGATGGATTTGGGACGTCCTGTGAATGTGAGTAAAGTCCTGTTGATCGCACAGCCTAATACCGGGGCTGCTTCATCCTTCAGGGATTTTGAAGTGAGGGTTGGAGCCTCACCGCAACACACTGGGAATTGTGCCTCGTACAAGCTGCTGGGGACATTTCCAGGCACAGGAACGCCTAGTCAGAGAGTGGTCCTCAAGTCCCCAAAACCTCTTCTTGGCCAATACGTCTCAATACAAATGACTTCCACTGATTACTTTCAAATCTGCCACTTAGAAATTCACTAACTTTCCAAGTTTGGTGCTTAGTTTTGATAATAATTTATTATGAAATTCACTAGAGGAGCACTGACTTATAGAAACTTGTTGTCTTCATAACTTTCTCAGGACAGAAATAACCAGACTTATGAAGGTATCACCAATATGTCTGTCATGGATGAAGATTGGAAATTCAGTGATTACACAATTTTATATAATATGACATCATATATAAAGTTGTAGTTCATTAATGTTTAACTCATCATAATATTCAGAGTAATGTTTTTTGGAGTTCGTACTTACACATTTAATTTCCAGGATTAAGCGCAGACTTAAACATTCTTAAGGTCAAAAGCAATGTCAGATGTTAGGCCCAAAATCTAAGAGTTCTTTAGTATTGCTGGACATTATTTTCACGATTGCTACCTTTGACGCTTCTACCGTAGGTGCCAGAAGTTGTTCATATAACTTTGTTCATATTATGTACTGTGATTCTTGTTAGTAGTAGTCATAAGTGTAATTGTCGACGCAATATATTTTTCATTTATTTAACGACCATAATCATATTTAATTTTAGAATAATGATTCCAGTAATCTTCTATATGTTTGATTTTGCATGCAAGCCAATGGGCTCAGTAACACAGTACAGGAGTTCCCCAACTCGGGTCCCCGAACAGGAGTAATGCGTTTGTGAGACTATTTATACACAGTTTACCTTGTTTTGTTTATAAAACAATAAAAAGCGTTAAAATGGAAAACGGACTTATTATTAATTACTACACATAAGAGCAGATAAATATTATGTTCAGTGGGAGTAACACAAAAATTTACTTGAGGGCCCACGGCCGAGGCTCGTCGTGTATGGGGCCCCTCGACCGAGATTCATCATGTTTGGGATCCTCAACTGAGGCAAATAGAGTATGGGGCCCCTCGGCTATGGCTAAGTACGCCATACATGATGAGGCTTATCGTGTATGGGGTCAAGATCTTCTTGAAGTTTTATGCAAGTTCTTGATTTCTTTACGCTTATTTTTTGCATTATATACAGATATTCCTGCTCAATCCTGAATCTAAATCATTTATATATATATATATATATATATATATATATATATATATATATATATATATATATATATATATATATATATATATATATATATGTCGTACCTAGTAGCCAGAATGCACTTCTCGGCCTACTATGCAAGGCCCGATTTGCCTAATAAGCCATGTTTTCCTGAATTAATATATTTTCTCTAATTTGTTTCTTATGAAATGATAAAGCTGTCCATTTCATTATGTTTGAGGTCAATTTCTTTTTATTGGAGTTAAAATTAACGTAGATATATGACCGAACCTAACCAACCCTACCTAACCTAACCTAAGCTATCTTTATAGGTTAGGTTAGGTTAGGTAGCCGAAAAAGTTAGGTTAGGTTAGGTTAGGTTGGTTAGGTAGTCTAAAAACAATTAATTCATGAAAACTTGGCTTATTAGGCAAATTGGCCCTTGCATTGTAGGCTGAGAAGTGCGTTCTGGCTACTAGGTACGATATATATATATATATATATATATATATATATATATATATATATATATATATATATATATATATATATATATATATATATATATATATATATAATCCACTCCACACACCTGTGGAGTGGAGACCACTCCAGACCAGGCCGATACCAGAGTGCAACTCCATAGTCTCCTGACACTGATGGATGCCTACTATCTCTCTCTCTCTCTCTCTCTCTCTCTCTCTCTCTCTCTCTCTCTCTCTCTCTCTCTCTCTCTCTCTCTCTCTCTCTCTCTCTCTCTCTCTCTCTCTCTCTCTCTCTCTCTCTCTCTCTCTCTCTCTCTCTCTCTCTCTCTCTCTCTCTCTCTCTCTCTCTCTCTATATATATATATATATATATATATATATATATATATATATTGTTGGGGTTCACTGTAACAGGGGTGAGCAACAGTATACAAGATATCCTCTCAATGGTCGCACTATTAGCGATAACCGTTACTCACCGTAGCCCTGCGGGTCTTCACTCCATCCTCGCGGTGCCACTGTACGCCAGGAGAGTACCCCAGTCGATCCCCAACCGGCCTTAGTAGTTACTGATGAGTGGAGACACAGTTTGCTCTCTCAACCGTGTGCCCGCCCCGACAAGGGCTCTACTATTAACCACAAGGTCGCCAACTGGTGTTTCCCGTGTCCAGTAGCATGTCAGTGGAATTGTGGTAACAGTGGCAAGAGCACACTCAATAGATCTGATATCAGGCAGGTATTTATTTATATCACTCTATCTCCTTTCAAGTATTATATAGTTACAAGAAATATGGAGGGGATGATACAAACGCCAAGGTATTTTGTATTTTACTTAAAACTCAAGACATCATATTCTTATATCAACAGGCAAGCAAGTACAATGCAGAAGTTGCTCTCTCTTCACTTATAATTTGGGCACACCTATATGGCAACACACTTCCCCCCTCGCGTCAAATGTCAAAATCAGCTGAGCGACTCTCACCACGCGAATGTTCATATATTTGTTTGTCTGGCATGAGACGCCTGTTTCTTTAAATTCTCAACTATCACTGTATTAACACACAACACGATTACTGCTATAATGGCAATAGAACGCAATTGAATCACTGCATTGGTCTTGAGTTCAGACAAATATTTCTATATCGATAAACACAGTAGCTCACAGTAAGATATTAAACACCGTAATATCACGGTAATAATAATAAATGTAATAAGACACTGCACTGTCCTTCAACACCGAAATTCACTCAAATGGCAATGACATAGAAAACTATACACATGAAAGTCATCCAACACACAAGCATATATATATGGATCAATTCATCAAATCAATAATAGTATGATAAATACTAGGCACACAGCCTAACACCAGTAACTGGTTCACTTTATATATATATATATTCTCTGGCATAAGTTATACCATAAATTTCACATAAAAGAAATCATCAACTAACACAGCAAACTCTTCAATAATAATATTTCTTTCTGATTCTGATTCTTTCCTCCTTCCGCAATAAGTTCTGCTTGTAAGGTGTCTTTGGTGGTGGGTCTTATTGCGGAAGGAGGAAAGAATCGAGGCAACTACAGAAGCACCATACTGTCCCCCGAGCTCAAAGCGGCAGCTAAGAGCCTTCGTGAGAACAAGGAGATAGTTGTCAGGAGAGGTGACAAGTCGCCAATATACGTCATTCTTAAAAAAGACGAATATCTGGCGAAAATGAACCTCATACTCTCTGACCAAACTAAATTCCAAAGGGTAATGAAGGACACTACAGCCGAATTGAAAGCAAAGGTCAACAAATTTATCGAAACTGTGAACGCCAAGAAATCCGGACTCCACCTGCCAAAGATTATTGGGGAATATAAACCTGGATATGCGTATGGAAATGTCAAGACACATAAGCCTGGAAACCCACTTCGGCCAATCATCAGCCAGATACCCACACCCACGTACAGACTTGGGAAACGACTCAACGGCTTGCTGACTCCTTTTGTCCCTTGCGCCTTCAGCCTGAAGTCTCCAAAGGAATTTGTTAACTTACTGCGGGGAACACGGACCACAGGGATAAGAGCCTCGTTGGACATAGAATCACGGTTTACCAACATACCTGTGGATGAAACAATCGGGATGATAGCGGACAGAGTGTATCGTGATCCGGCCTGTACTCCTCTTGACATACCAGAAAATATTCTAAGGAAATTACTCCAAGCTTGTACTAAAAGAGGCACCCTTCTTGAGCCCGGATGGGCACATGTATTAGCAAGTAGATGGGGTCGCCATGGATTCTCCCCTAGGTGTCCTGTTTGCGAACTTCTACATGGGTACCATCGAGCAAGAAGTCTTAGTCGACATGAACTTGAAACCGGCCATATACTGCAGGTATGTTGACATTTTTACACAGATACCTGATGTCAGACAACTGCAGGAGCTGAAGGAGGAATTTGAGCAGAATTCTGTGTTGCGTTTCACTTACGAGATGGAGAAGGATGGGAAGCTGCCCTTTCTAGATGTAACAGTCATGGAAAGGAGCGGAGGTTTCCACACTGCAGTCTACACTAAGGAAACAAACATAGGAATGTGCCTAAATGCCAACAGTGACTGCCCAGACAGGTACAAGAGGAGTGTTGTTAACGCATATGTCGACCGTGCTCTCAGCCACAGCTCAGGATGGAAGCAAGTCGATGAAGAACTCTGCAGGGAAAGGCAGGTCCTAGTCAACAACGGCTTCTCCAATGGTTTCGTTGAAGACATCATAAGAAGGAAAGTGAAATGCCATGCCACCTCTGAAGAGACAACTAACACAACACCTATACCCTATTTTTATTAGACTATTTTACAGGAACTTCTTTTCCACAGCTCATAAAACGGAGGAAAGGGTCCTGAAAGATATTGTGAATAGAAACGTTATCCCTACAGACAAAAATCAGAAGATACAACTGACGATTTTCTATAAAACCAAAAAAACGGCCAGCCTACTCATGAGAAACTCTCCAGACACAAAGCAGAACGCTTTAAAAGAGACCAACGTCGTCTATGCCTTCAAATGCCCTCTTGGGTACTGTAAGCCTCAAAATACTCGGTATATAGGCAAGACAACAACATCTCTTTCCAGGCGTTTAACGATGCATAAGCAACAGGGCTCCATTAAGGAACATATAATCTCTTTACACAACCAACCCATCACCAGAGAAATTTTAGCAAACAACACAGAAATCATCAATAGATACAGCGATAGCAGGCGGCTTGACATCTGCGAGGCACTACACATCAAGAAGTCAACACCAGCAATCAACAGCCAATTAATGCACAACTATATTCTATCCACTTCAAGACTCTGCCCCAATATAGAAGCATCAAGAAATATGGGCCAATAGGCCCTCTGCAATTACTTCCATTCTTACCTTCAATACCCATTGTTTCGTGTTCTGTCGTGTGTTGAAAGTTTGTTTTCACCTCACCCAAAATTGTTGTAACATATCACCTTACCCAAATGCAGGTATAAAAATCGAAGATGTTTAAGCTCTATTCAGTTATAGTTGTGTGTGTGTAAACTAAAGTCTTTGAAAATGTAATAAGTTTTACGAAAATATATATATATATATATATATATATATATATATATATATATATATATATAACTATATATATTTATATATATATATATATATATATATATATATATGTCGTACCTAGTAGCCAGAACGCACTTCTCAGCCTACTATGCAAGGCCCAATTTGCCTAATAAGCCAAGTTTTCATGAAAAAATTGTTTTTCGACTACCTAACCTACCTAACCTAACCTAACCTAACTTTTTCGGCTACCTAACCTAACCTAACATATAAAGATAGGTTAGGTTAGGTTAGGTAGGGTTGGTTAGGTTCGGTCATATATCTACGTTAATTTTAACTCCAATAAAAATAATTGACCTCATACATAATGAAATGGGTAGCTTTATCCTTTCATAAGAAAAAAATTAGAGAAAATATATTATTTCAGGAAAACTTGGCTTATTAGGCAAATCGGGCCTTGCATAGTAGGCCGAGAAGTGCATTCTGGCTACTAGGTACGACATATATATATATATATATATATATATATATATATATATATATATATATATATATATATATATATATATATATATATATATATATATATATATATATATTTATGTTTCATTGAAT